GCCGCCTCGCTCGACCGGGACGGGGCCGCCTTCGACGCGGGCGGCCGGGAACGCGGGCAGGGCGGCGGCAGCGCGGGGCTGCTGCGCTCCGGCTTGGAGCGCGGGAGGAAGGCACCCTCGTCGCCGCCGCCGCCTCCCTCGCGGCCGCCGGACGGCCGGGAGGCGGGCGAGAAGCCCTTCTACGTGAACCTGGAGTTCCACCGCGAGCGCGGCCTGGTGCGCGTCAACGACCGCGACGTCTCGGAGCGCCTGGGCGCGCTGGGCAGCCAGGCCATGCAGCTGGAGGCGCGCAAGAAGCTGCCGGGGCCGCCGCGGGGCCGCTCGGCCGACGGCGCCTACGACGACGGGGGAGAGTACGAGGATGCTGAGCTCAACGCGCGCTTCCTGAAGGACAACCTGCTGCTCGACGGTGCGGGGCGGCCCGCCTGGACGGCCGCCTCTCCCGCCGCCTTCCAACCCTACCAGAGCGTCTTCGTGGGCGGTCCGGCGGGGGCGGCCGAGCCGCCGCTCACCTGGCCGCGCCGCTCCTACTCGCCGCGCGGCTTCGAGGACCTGGGCGGGGGCGGCGGCTACACGCCGGACTGCAGCTCGAACGAGAACCTGACGTCCAGCGAGGAGGACTTCTCGTCGGGCCCGTCGAGCCACGTGTCCCCCAGCCCCACCGCCTGCCGCCTGTCCCGCGAGAAGAGCCGCTCGCCCTCGCAGCACTCGCAGCAGTCCTTCGACAGCAGCGGCAGCCCCCCGACCCCGCAGGCCCCCAAGCGGCACCGGCAGCACCCGCAGGGCGCCGGCCCCGAGGCCGCCGTCGGGGCGCCCAGGAAGAGCGCGCCGCCCTGGCCCTGCGACGGGGAGCCGCCCCCCGGGAGGGCCGCCGCGGACGGCTGTTTCCATGGCGACGCAGGTGAGGCCCGGGGGCTCCCCGGAAATGCTGGGCGGCGGGGATCTGCGGACGGATTCCCGAGGGGCGGGAGGGGCTCCTGTCAGTTACATTCAAACTCTGACACCTTCCCGCGATGGGCATCCGGTGGCTACTTTGTACACACAGAGGCACACACAACACACAACACACCTGCGCAGGTCAGGGATTGTGTGGTATTCCCCCCTCCCCTTTTCCAGTCGCCTAGGTGTGGGGGAGCAGAGGCAGCAGCTTCCTCTGGATCAGTGGGGGGGGGGAGGCGCCTGCGGCCATCCCAGCTCCTTCAGCTCCCCCTCCCACCCTTCCCCTAAGGCTGTGGCAGGTTCTGGGTCTCTCTCCAACCCCCCCTCCCCAAACAGCAGCAGAGGCCCATCTGCAGCCGGGGTCCCTGGTGGGCTGCCTGGGGAGCAGAGGGCAAAGGGGCAAGGCCAGACTCTCCTGCCAAAGGGGTGGAGGGTGGCAGTGGGACCGGGGAGGCCTGGAGTCGCTTGCCTGGCCTGGGGGCTGCCATGGTTGAGCCAGAAAGAGCTGAGTGCCCCCCCCCCAAAAAAATTAGCTTCAAAAGGCAGCAGGGAGTCTCCCAGAATCTGGCTGATTCCAGCATTTGCTCTGCCCCCAAAAGAAAGGCAAAGCTTCGGAGAAGGGGACAGTTGAGCCCCCCCCCTCCAGTCACTGAGGTGTGGTTGGGTTGAGACAGCTGGGGGCTCCTTTCTAGCAACAGCACCTGGAGCTCAGCTGGCAGATCAGCCTCAGTTGGCCGATGATCTGACTGGAGAATGGATCCTATCGGTTTGGGGGGGGAGGGCAGTCTGTCTCACCTCCCCTGAGACAAGGCGGGCCCTGGTGGGGCTTCTCCTGGGACATCTGGGCCGGGCCAGGCCAATCTGTCCCCACGGCCCTCCAGCCCAGAGGGGCCTGCTGGGGGCCCTTCCTCCCCTTCTGGAAGAAAATGGTCTCTCTGGCCTAGGCTGCCTTTGCGGGAGGGGGGGTCTCCTGTCTGCTAGTGACCCATCAAAATGGCTTGGAAGAAACAGGCAGAGCCCATGGCGACAGTGGCCGGGCTGTGTGGAGGGCAGACCTGGGGAGGGAGCAGGAAGCTGCAATGGGTCCCAGGGCCAGGTAGAGTCCTGGGCAGGGTTCCATGGGGGTCTCTGAGTGGGCTGTTGTGGGGCAATGAAAGGAGCCAACGAAGGAAGAGCATCACCCCTGTCTCTACCAGCTGCTGGCAGGCCGAGCTTGGCAGATGGTGGTCCCCAGCCCTGCTGCCCTGGAGAGCGGGGGGGGGGGGGGGGGGGGGGGGGGGGGGGAAGAGGCAGGACTCCAGGAAGGGATTAATAAAGCAGGAGTGTTATTGTGATCACCCTGGGAATTATTGATGATAATGGCATAACTTGTCGATGTTTTCCTGCCAGTATTAAGCCCTGCAGGTTCTGTACATCCAAGTAGCAGCCGGGGGGCGGGTGGGTGGGTGGAACCATAGCAAGGGTAATGTTCACATCTCTCAGCTCTTCAGAACCAGGTTGGCCCCTGAAAGTGGAGCTTCTGGATGGAAAGCATGGTAAGGGGTGGTGGCAAACCACAAGTAGAAATAAGTGCCCCCTTTTTCTCTGCCGCAGCATGGTCCCTGCCCGTCTCTCTGAGTTGACGCTTAAGAAAGAGACGCTTTGGAAACCCCAGAGTTCCCACTGAGGTTGGCATCTTCCGTGTGGGACGAGGTGCCCAGTAGCCCAGTGGTGCTTTTGTCTGTGTGGAACCAAAACTGCTTGGAAGGTGGGCTTCTTTTGTAGGCACTTTGTATTTCCTCGTTTTCTCCCTCCACCCCAACAAATCTCTCTCTGTGGTTTGTGTGTGTGTGCGTGTAGTTGCTGCATTAGGTGTGTTTGCATTGCTAGCTTTGTTTGGCTTGGCAGCAGCTCCTTTGTGGGCTACCCTGAGAAGTCTCTCCCCCCCTACAATCTTTTTCAGCTGGAGATCTGTGGATACATCCTCTTCCTTAGTTCTGGGGGGGGGGCAGGGGCAGCTGTTCCATGCTGGGGGGGGTGGCCATCCTCCCAGGGATGCCCTTCAGGTAGCTGGGGACTGTGGGGCCCGGCAAAGGGGGCTTCTGTCTGTGCTGGAGGGCAGAGAGAGAGGGGGACTCGGGACAAGCCAGGGTCCTGCTGCCCTCGCAAGGAAGAGCTGGCCTGGAGTAGCTCACAGACAGCGCTCCGTCACCTGCAGGTGGTCCTGGGCACCATTCCTTCTTGCAGGAGAAGGTCCTTCCTGTCCGAGGAGCCCATGAAGTGGACTGCAGCTTTTGTGCAGAGGCGCTTTCCAGATGTTCTGCCAACAGAGGTCAGGTGCCATCCCAGCAAATTCATCACAGGACAGCCAGGAGGGGGATGTTCAGGTGGGCCATCTCAGAGAGTCACCTGGAGTCTGATAGATCTCAAGCGACAGGACCCCCCTCCCCCTCCATTTGGGAGTGAGTGGGACCATGGGCTCCCTGCTCTGTGGAGCCCCCGTCGGTTTCCATCTCCCTCACCAGTCCCCCATTCATGACTAGAAACCGCTGCCAATGGGGACGTCAAAAGAAGTGTTCCACCTGAACAAATAAGACCTTTTGGACAAGCGCAGGCTTGCTCAGCTCTGTTGCCTTATTTTATTTATGCATCTGCCACACAGCGGCCCAGCTGCTGCCTGGACACCTAGGCTGCCATCGGTGTGCTGGTGACCAACAGGGTTTGGGGTATAATCTGAACTCCTGGTTAGGTTAGAATAGAATAGCAGAGTTGGAAGGGACCTTGTAGGTCATCTAGTCCAACCCCCTGCCCAAGCAGGAGTCCCTACACCATTTCTGACAGAGGGCAGTCCAGTCTCTTCTTGGAAGCCTCCAGTGATGAAGGTTGTGCCATTGAAGCCCTACCTGAAGGTCTCCCAGCTACTGTACCTACAGGACCGTCTCTCCTGCCAACAGCTGCCTTGACCTTTGATGAGAATTATGGGGCGGGGTACCCCAGTGAAATCACAGGAGGGGGGGCTAAACAACAAGTCTCTCAAGGCATCCCTACTGAGAGAGAACCTCTGTTTCCTCCCTTACATTCCCCAGAGATGGAGGCCTCCCCGTTCCACCCAGTATTGGGGCGCCAGGTGTGTGGCCTGCCTTTTAGACAGATGCTTACCTTTGCCTGCTCTGCAGAGAGGGAGAAAAGAGGTTGCACCTGGACCATTTGCTAGGGAGGAGCAGGACAACAGCTGGCATGAATATATTATAAAAGGAATTTACCTGGAATCCTGTTGTTGACGTTGTAAGGACTTCCTAGTCTAGGGAGGAAGCAGATGTGGCTGTGGAAACAGTATTAAAAAGTGGCTTTGGTGTGCCCTGACCCCGCTTTCCATCCTGCTGAGACCCCAGTTTTGGCAGGGGGTCAGCGGTTTCTGACTTCGGGGACTTTGGCCTCATGCTGATTTACATTGATCAGTGCCCAGCAAGGCAAGAATGATTTTGGGTGCCAGGTTTAGATTTCTGTTTTTCAACCTGGGCCATTTCAGGATGTGTGTGGACTTCAACTTTGCTGGCTGGGGATTCTGGGAGTCCACACATCTTTATTTCATCTTTTGTGAGCAGGTAATCCTCAACTTACGACCACAATGGAGCCCAAAATTTCTGTTGCTAAGCAAGACATTTGTGAAGTGAGTTTTGCCCCCTTTTGTGACTTTTCTTGCCACAGTTGTTAAGTGAATCACTGCAGTTGTTAAGTTAGCAACATGGTTGTTCAAGGAACCTGGTTTCCCCACTGACTTGGCTTGTCAGAAGGTCGCGAAAGGGGATTACGTGACCCCCTGGGGACGCTGCGGCCATCATAAATAGGAACCAGTGGCCAAGCGTCCGAATTTTGCTCAAGTGACCCTGGGGACGCCGCAACAGTCGTAAGTGTAAAAACCAGTCATAAGTCACTTTTTTTCTGTGCTGTTGTAACTTCAGTCACTAAACAAATGGCTGTAAGTTGAGGACTACCTGTAGTCTTTTGAGGAATGTCACTAATCAGATTAAAAAATAGGAAACCGCCAACTTCCTGGCTGCAGTGATTCAGTCTCTGCCCTCCTTTTCCTGTGAGTCACTCTCTCCCTCTTTCCCAACACCTGGCAGCAGCTGGATGCCTTTAGCTGGCGGATCAGAGGGCTGGGGGGTGAATTTTGCAGCGCTGGCAGGTGTCCCCAGCCTGTTCTGATGCAGGTCTCCATGCTGCTAATTGCGGGGGTGACCCCCGCCCCCCAAGACTTTGGCAGGTTCTGATCCTAATTCTTCATCAGCCTTGCTCACGAGGTACGAGAAACTGATCTGGGGTCAGCCTAGAGTGCTGAGACTTGTTTTCTTGATTTTTTTGGTTGCTTTTTAGTTGTTATTTTGTTTATTTATATCCTGCCTTTATTATTTTTATAAATAACTTAAGGCACCAAAGGTCCCCTCCTTCTATTTTCCCCACAACAACCTCCTTGAGGGGGGGTTGGCTGAGAGTGATTGGCCCAAAGACGCCCAGCCTGCTTTTGTGCCTAAGGCAGGACTGGAACTCACCGTCTCCTGACCTCTGACCTGTACCTTAACCCCTAGACCAAATGGGGCATGTTTTTATGAGCTATTTTAAAGAAAGTATAGACATAAGGGTAAAAGGAAACAAGAAGAAAGAATAAAATAGAAATTAAAGGCTAAGATATTTAATAATGTTGGGGAGTTTCCAATATAAATTAGTTGACTATGAATAATTGAATACATTGCATCACTTAAAATGGCCACTCCAGCTACTTCAAATGGGGGGAGGGGTTTGTCTTGTGGCAGGGGCTCCTTTTGAAATCCAGCTGACCACCTCTGGACAACCTGGGCTAGCAGCTCCAATCAGGGCTCTTTTAGTACCCCAACACCAGCCTTGCCAGCTCTGGGTTCGGGCAGAATGAGAAGATGGGATGTGTTTGGTTCAGGAGGCTCAGGCAGGAGAGGGCAATCTTCC